AGCTCACAGTTAAAATCAGAAACCCCATCAACAATTAAAAATCCCCCATAAATAGTTAAAAGTCTATATGTGTGGACATGCCAAATAATGGATTAGCTACAAACTGAATTGGCTTAGATGCATTTAGTATGGCTCCCTCTTCTTTTTTTCTTTCAGAAAATATTTTCTCATCTCTTATCCCCAAATGTGAAAAATGTCAGAATGTAGTGAAGCCAGGTGAGCATCCCTCTTAGCTATTCATCAAAGCACATCTTGGGGTCTTTGATCTGGAAGCTGATTTGCACATCTTTATCTCTGCTAACCTGCAATTATACAGCCTAACTGCAGTGCAGACTCCTATATTGCATCTTATATGGAAATTCTGTTTGAAGTGGAGTGCTTGGGGAGGGAGGAAGAGAAAGCAGAATGGAGAAAATATAACTCTTAACAAGGAATCATCCAGTGCTTTTCCTGCTGCTGAATGAAATTGCACAAATGAAGAAAAGATATGCTTTCTTTAATCGGATTTTAACGAAGTTATACCCCAGCATGTAGCTCTTGGTTTAAATCATACAGAAACAGTAAAAAGTATGGGGCCAGTGCTGAATGAATGTCTTCTGTTTTAAACTGTTTTTTATTGTTAACGGATGTACTGTAATGGCTTATGGCTACACATGTTTAATAAATAAAAGAAATTAGAGAGGGGATATGTACATGTGATTCAAGATTCCTGACAGGATCAGAGAGTGCAGTCCCCAGCAAGTAAGGCCCAAAGATCACTAGAGAATTGCTTCTGAATTCATTTATACAGTATGAAACATCGTTCTTCTTTTCCCCTCTCATCTGTCCTCAAAATAATCTGTCCTGAGACTGTGAGATGGTGACTGGCCCAAGAGAACCGAAGCTTTTGTAGGTAGATGGGGCTTCAAACCTTGCCCCCCTTTTTAATCTTATACCACACTTATTCTTAGACTCAGAACCTTCTATAAATTGTATAGATTGTTTCAAGATTTCTCCTGTTTCGTATAATTCCGCTGTTGTGAATCGGGGGAAGGGACAAGAATAAAGGGCCTGTGACCCTGACCCCTGTAAATCTCATTCAACAGGACTTCTGACTTGTCACATTTCAAATTTACGCTTTCCGTTATACGTTCAGAGCACGTGAGAAACATGTTACCATTTAATGTAAGCAAAGATGTTACTTCTGTGCTTATTGATCATGTTTCAGGTAATCCTAGCCAAGAGTTCTGTTTTCTTGTGTTTTCTTTTTCTGTGCTTATTGATCATGTTTCAGGTAATCCTAGCCAAGAGTTCTGTTTTCTTGTGTTTTCTTTGTTCAGATATCGTGTTTTTTGGGGAGAATCTGCCGTCTCGTTTCTTCTCTCTCACGCAATCCGTAAGCACTTCAGTGGTTTGCCCTTGGATGCAGAGCTCCTGCAGGCCCACGTGTACAGGTCTACCAAGACCCAGGATTTCTGGATCCTTATTTTAAGAGTTAACATTTCCCCACGTGAAATGATGTCGCTGTCATAGATGCTAACTTATCAGAGATGTGATAAATCCTTACCACTTCATAATTGGTTAGGATGAATGAAATCTCAAATCACGGATGAAAATATGGCACTAAAGTAGCAGTGCTACTTTAATTAATTAATTAATTAATTAATTGAGACAAAAAAGGATGAATGTTCAAAAAGAAAGGAACATTCAGCTTCCATGGAGTTACATCTTTCTTCCAAAGCTGCTTGTGGGCGAACATTTGGCAAACATTAGCAGCACCTTGCACCGTAAGCATGTTAGCATATTAACCCTCAATTTTGTGGACAGAAGTCCCTCTGCATGCAGTATGCAGTCACTTACAACACTGTATCCACACGCTGCAGGAGCTAGTGGTTTTCCTCTCTGTTGAACGACTGTTACGGCCTAAGCTCTGCTGTGGTCTATCATGAACACAGTTACATGGGACAGCAAGGTCTGCCTAGCCCTGAATAAATGAAAGATCAGAGCAATATATCCAGATAGTACAATTTCAGAGAGAGAGAAGGTTTGAGACCAGGCTAGAAATGTTGATACAGTTCTGTGGTGCCCACCATCCTTCACAGTAGCTCTCTGCTTGCAGGATTTCCAGAATGCGGACTTGCTTATTATTATGGGCACCTCTCTTCAGGTCCAGCCTTTTGCCTCTCTGGTCAGCAGGTAAGCGAACCTGGGCTGCGTAAGCAAGGGCTTAGCTTCCTTGACTAAGACACTGTGGGCATCATTGCTACATTCTTCCTCCTCTTTGTCTCTTCCAGGGTATCAACAAACACACCACGGCTTCTGATCAATAAGGAGAAGACCGGAGAGGTAAGATTGGATTTGCAGCATCCTTTCTTTGGTTTGATGCAGATTGGAAACTTCTGGGTATAGAGAGAGCAGGGTAGAGGACCTTGATGGAGATAGGCAGATGAAGTTGCTTAGGCAAAAGAGGCCGAAGCGTATTTTTTAAGTCCAGAGGAACAAGATAACATTCAGAAGCAGCTCAGGCAGATGCCTCCCAGATTCGCAGGAGTATAAGAAGCAGGAGGAGGTCCAGCACAATCAGACTTGCAGGATTCTGTTATTATAGCCCGTCTCAATAAAAGCAGAGAGCCAGTTTGGTGTGGTGGTTAAGGCATCAGGCTAGCAACCAGGAGACCCTGAGTTCTAGTCCTGCCTTAGGCATGAAGCCAGCTGTGAGACCTTGAGCCAGTCACTCTCTTAGCCCTGGGAAGGAGGCAATGGCAAAGCACTTCCAAAAAACCGTGCCAAGAAAACTGCAGGGACTGGTCCAGGCAGTTGCCAGGAGTCAAAAACTGACTCAGACACACACACAAAAGTAGTTTTAGCTTTCTGGTGGAATTGGTTTCTTGGTCTGGTCTACCTAGTGGGGCTGACAGTGGGTAACTTCTGGCCCTTTTCTTGATTGCTGCATTTGGAGAGGGGAGATTTTTTCCACCACCTGTCCCACTCTGTTCTTAAGCAGAAAGGTGGGGTGCACAGGCAAGGTATAGGGGCTAAGGCTTTCACACTCTCCTACCTCCTACCTTAGTGAAGAATGCCAAGCATTTCTGATAACCCCAGAACAATGTCTTTATGGAGGAGGGCCCATCCTGCCATGACTCTGAAAGGTTAATGAAGTCAGTGACATGCAGAAATGGAATGGAACTTTTGATCAAGGTAGGTAGCTAGTTTCCTGATAAATGTTAGTGACAGGCTTATAAAATGATGGTTCTCTGCTGATCCTCCATCTAAAAACAGTTACCATCCTGGAGCCCTAAAGAGAATGTTCTTACATTTTTGGTCTCATTTCAGAGTGACCCCTTCATGTCCCTGGTGGGCTTAGGCTGTGGAATGGATTTCGATTCAGAAAAGGCATACAGGCAAGTTCACCGTGGGGAATAGGACTGTGGCAGGGCAGGTGCTGGGAACCTAAGGCAAGGACACACCCGTTGACTCACGGGAGGTGGAGTGTTCAGGGCTTTGGTGCCAAAAGTCTTGGGTAAGAGACTGTGTTCAGGAGTTAAATAAATTAGAGTTTAAGCCAATAATTGCTGTGTGCTTCTCTTGAGTTTGACACGCGCAGTTCCCTTGGTGTGTATGGAATCTAGTGCAGCCTTGTGGTCCATCTCTTGATCTCACATGGTGGCTTTAGGGAAGCCACTCTTACTCCTCATAGCCCATGTGTGTGAGGGAAAGCGTGTATGATCCTGCTGGCCTACTTCACAAGGTTTTTGTAAAGATCACTGAAAGAAAAGATGCGTGTGTCTTGGAATGCTTAGTAAGCTCTGTATAATTACTGAAGGTTGGGGTCTGGTTATTCACAGTTCTTTTGGGGGCCCTTCCCACCCCATTTACTTTCTCAGGGATGTTGCATGGCTTGGAGACTGCGATGAGGGCTGTCTGGCCTTGGCAGAGCTGCTGGGATGGAAGGTATCTCTCCTGTTTCAGAATCACTGAAAATAGGCCATGGCACATCTGTAAAAACGAATGGGGTTATCTTTGGTTCTCTCTTGTGAACTACTGGGGAGGGGGTGGCTTGCAGCTCTGAGCAAATTAAGGCTCAGTTTATTTCTTGGTTATGTTCCCTACATAGATTTCCTTTTTCTCCTCCCCCCCCCTTAGAAAGAGCTGGAGGAACTTGTGAAAAAGGAGCATGCTGTCATTGAGGCCAAATCAGGACAGCCTGTTGATGGGGCAGGTGCTTGTCATCATCCAGCCAAGGAACAAGAAAAGAATCCATCTTTGGAGAAGAAAAAGCCACCTGCAAACAAAGAAGAATGAAGAGATTAGAGAAGATTGGGGGACTCTGCTTTCTGATTATTAAAAACTCACATCAAAATGAACAAGTGATGCTTGGGGCTTTCTGTCTTGATTTCATTAAGGAGAGACGATGTGGGGTCCACACTTAGCTGTGGAAACTCACTAGATGATTTTGGGCGAGTCACTGTTGACCCAAACTGCTCCTAAGCTGTTGGGGGGGATAAGATGAAGGGAGATCCCTGTGTAAGTCACTTTGTGCTGCTGGAAGAAAGGCAGGATGTAATTCTAACAAAATAAGTAAAGGGACTTAGCCATGTGGCATCAAAGATTTGGGGGGAGGTAATAGAGTTCAAGGGAGATGTGGAATCAAAAACCAGGTACCATCCCAGAAGGTCATCTCTGTGGACTTTGGGCACAATTGAAGCCATAAATAGCTGAAATTATGACAGAACTGAAGTTTTAATTTAGCAGTAGGAATATTTCTTTGGGATTTCTTTTGAGCCTTTCTGTACTCTTAAATGTTGGGAGGGTGAATCCTATTAATTTCCAATTAACCTCTGAGGAAAATTGTTCTTACTGAGGAAGAACTTTGCTCTAATTGCATTAGAGAAAAGAGACAAAAGGAGACTTAATCGTAACTTCTGTCCAGCCCTTATTTATGGGAACTTTTTTCTTTAGCACTGATCAAGCCAAGGAAGACACTTTTGGAGAGGAGTAGTTCGAAGTGTTTGATCAGCCTGTTGACTTGCGGAGGGTAGCAGTTTTAACTATGTGTGATGCTTTTGTGCCTGTCATTTACATTAAGCTATCGTCAGTGACAATTAAATACCAGCAGCTTGATACCACAAGAGAATATGCTGTTGCTTTTTTCTGTGTTCCGTATCGATATGTGTTCATTTTGGGAAGACTCGTTGTAATTGGTGCAGTTAACACTTACCTGTTCTGCGTCTTATAGTGGTTCAGTTTAGCAAAACAGATGGTAATTCGAAGGTTAGAGTGTCAGTAAGCAAGTTTTTAATTGTAAGCTGCCCAGAGTCACCCTCTGGGGGAGATGGGCGGCATATAAATTTAATAAAAAATAAAAAATAAATAAACCTCTAGTGGCCACAGACCAAATGTGGATGCAGCCCTTAACATTCACTCTCTAGTTTCTGTACTGAGAGGTAGCTATTGACTTTCCCATCCATTTTCTAGGGTCATAGGCTACAGCTAAATAGCTTTAGGCAGTAGCTGATAGCTCCCTGCCATCTAGTGCACATTTTTTTTACTGCTATAATTTTGGAAATTTCTATATTCTTCAGACAGAGGTACTGAAGGAGTATGTTATAAGAAGTAACTCTTTCTTGAGTGGGCTAGCATAGGTGAGGGTTTCACATTTTCTGGCACACGTACTGGCACATTTTCACATTTAGTTTTATGTGCCAGTACGTATGCTTACATGTTACATACTATTTTTAAAAAAACATGTATTATAGAGAATAAATTTGTAAAACCATTCACACTTTGGAAAAAAATCCAAAAATCCGTAGTCAAACAACACTTTCATTAGATCAACTGAACTGTTACCAAAAGGTATGCAGGTTTCTAAGATCTCTAGAAATTGTCAGGCTAAGTGTTTGAAAAAAAGGAAACAGGAAATTCCTTTTTTAAAGCACTTTTCACTTTGAAAACATAACCAACTTCTTGAGCCTTTGTGCTAATAGCCTTGTGCTATTAATGTCTTTTACTAAGTCAGCGTTTCTCAATCTCAGCATCTTTAAGATGTGTGGACTTAGAATTCCCCAGCCAGCATGTCCACACATTTTAAAGGTGCTGAGACTGAGAAACGTCGTGCTGAGTCCTTCTAGCTGCCTCGGCCTCCTTAATGACTCCATTGTGCGTCTCAGCTTTACCTTGAGTCTCTGTCCAAACTAATCTTCTCTTTTGCCTTCTGGCTTCATGTGGTAACCAGGTTTTCTTACAGAATTCTTTCTCACGGTGCATAATGAACCCGTGGAGTCACTACTGAAGGTTATGGATGGCTAACGGGTGGCTTTGAAAAAATCTTGAATTCAAGAAAGATAAGGCTCTTGACATTTGCTAAGCATGATGATATTGTATCGCCTGTAGTAATGGAGGCCATTGCCGAGAAACACAAGTGGTGTGCTCATCTTGTGAGCTTCTCAGGAGCAGCCGGTTGGCCACCATGGGGCAAGAGGAAGATGGATTAAGCTAGTCTTCTTTTCTGATCCAGCACGTCTGTTCTTAAATGTTATAACTCTAACAAATGCTTCTCTGCCCACTTCTTTAGCTGTCTTTCTTTTTTGAAGTGAACTGTGGGGCCCCAGGACCACGTGAAGGCAACTGGCGGAGGTGTCAACCACATCCCTGCCTTTGTCTCCTACAGCTAAAGTACTTCGTTCCTGCCCACTTGCATTCCTCATTCACCTTTTGTCGATCCATCAGCGGCAGTTCGCACAGAGATTTCCTGGCTGATATTTCACCTTTCCACATGACCATCACAAGGTAAGATCTTCCTCTGGCTGTTGAGGGGTCAGATAAATGGGTGGCCTTTTTAGCAGAACTGCAGGTTTCACTTCCAAACAGGCAGATTGGAGGAGAAAAGGTTTACTTATGCCTAGAAGCCACAGGGAAGCTAAGCTGTTATAGGTAAAGATAACCTATCTCTGGGCAACAAGCAGGAGGCCCACTGGCTTTTATAGCCTGCTTCTGAGCTTTTCTGTGGCACCAGCCTGTTTGTTGGAAGTGGTCATGGATCGAAATGCATTTTTTGATGCAGGAACTCAAATACACCTAGAATTTTGGATATGTGTGGGAGGAAGGTCAGTAAAGAGGAAATGGCCTTTGGCACCTTGGTATTGGTGCATTCAGCATTTTGCCAAGCGCTGGCTTCTTTCTTGAAGTCAGCAGAGCAGGGCGTTTTCCTTCCTTTCAGAACTAAGCATCAACTCTGCCCGCCATTTTGCCTGTAGGCATGGGAGCTCTGATCTCCCATGCAAAATCACAGCCGTATCTGGTGTGAGCTACTGGGGTAGCAAATGGAAAGGAAGAGGCTGTTTGGAAGGAAAAACTTTATTCTGAAGCCCCTACCCTTGGTCTTGAACGTTTTAATGTAGCTATAAGTATGAAAGTATGATTACGTTCATACCTTCTCGAAGCAGTAGGAACTTTCAAGAGCATGGAGCTTATTGCATTATTTCCCTGTGGAAGGAGGCCACGAGACACGTATTATATATTATAATGTATTATATAACATTCATATTTATTTACAAATACACTGGTTGTTATAGATAGAATTTTTCCGTTGTACCAGAATGGAAATTCTGACTTCCTGCATTTCTCAAGGGCGGCAGGCTAAGGAATGGCTGGCTCTACTGAATCATCTCATAGCGAGGACAAATATATTAGGGCTTTCATCAGGGCACTGTTCAGTTTATCTGGGTCAAAACAGACACTGCTGTTCTCTTTTCTCCACCTGCGAATCCCTGGTGCCCAGATTCATCTGTCTGACTCGTTCTGCTCCTCCAGGAGAACATTCAGAAACCACGCAAAAAAGAAAATGTCTGGAAAGCTGGATGTGGAGAAGTGGGCTTGGTGATCAGCTGGAGTCTCGTGGGCATGAGAAATGACGGAGATCATGGTCGATGCCAGCAAGGAGCATGCGGGAACAGCATCTCAGTAAGGAAGGGGCCTGCATCTCTAGGTCAGGAAAGAGAATGCATGCTTGTCTGCCCAGTTGGTTATGTGGAAAGCTTGTAGTCCATGGTAGGGCACCCAAGGAAATTCTTGTGTCACTGCTAAACCTACCACGGATCAGTGTTTGACCTTATGCAGCACATAGTTGATTGGCTAAACAGCTGCTCTGGTCCTCAGTTCAGGGGTAACTTTTGGCTGGCACCTACATAGGATAGGCAATTCTGCTGACGGCTTCTTTTAACTGACATGTCTATCCCAGGAGCAAACCAGGTAGTGTATTGGGTTGGCTTCCTATTGTTTAACCATGATTTGCTGAATAAACTACAGTTGGCTGGTTCACACAACAGGCTGAGCCGTAAACTCTGCTTTACCAGTTGCAGGAGCTGGGCTCATTCAACAAAATCAGCCCACATTGGGATTTAGGACTTTGTGCAAGCCTAGCCGTGGTCTAAATGAGCTCTTCCTGTCCAGCCTTGGCTGTGTTGGCGGGGTCAGCGGGGCGGGGGGAGGTCAGTGGAATGTGTGCTTGGAATTAGAGGATGATGCAGTTGGAGGACACCCAGTTGGTAAAGCTGGTCAGAAGAGTTAGAAATGTGGAAATAATTTTTTTTTTAAGTTGTCTGACTTTAGCAGGAGCAGGACCTACAGTAAAGTTAGCATACGAGGCTAGGGTTTCTTTGCAGGAAAATGCCAATTGCGCTGTCTTTTGCTCTTCTGTTTGCTTTTTCTCTTTTGTAGGTCACAGCATACGGCAGTGGGAAAACATGGCAGTCGCCTACCACTTCTGGACAGGCTCTCAGCAACGAGGGGCGTTTGGGAGCTTCTGGATGTCCAGCCAGAGCAAGTCAAGAGGCTGCTCTCATCGCACCAACCTGGGGTGAGTAACTAACCATTTTTAGAAGGACTAAAAGCACAGGCTTTCTTTCACGCAAAACCAATCTCTCCAGATCCGTCGGGACTGGGGCAATTACATTGTCTATACCTGAGTTTACTTGCCAGACCTGTTTCGCTGCTTCCAAAACACAGATTTAAAATGCACAGATGGCAGGAAATTAAACCTCACCAACATCTTCTGTAGCCGAGATCCTCCTCAGCAGCTTCCCCAACCCAACATCCTCTGGATAACAGTTCCCATCTTCCCTAGCCACCAATGGCAACTGATGGTTGAAGGGGATGATAGATTGCTTTCCACTACCTATCTGGAGTGGCCAAGTTGGGAGACTGCTTTTTAACAATAAAGCAGGAAGTAAAGGGAAGTGTTACTTTTGTGGAAATGAAGCAACATCAGAGTTGACCTATGTTCTCCTCTTCCTCCCCTCCCCTGCTTTTTCACCTCTACTTGCCCTGTTCTCTAAGAGTTGCCAGTGAAATTTGGTTTTGCCAAGTAGGTATACCAATCCAAGTAGACCTTTTTGCATCGTTCCTTCATCCTGCCTAAAGGGGGAGAGAAGTGTGTGTCTAGGAGGTGGTTATGGTTTTGCTTGGTGATAAGATTTTCCAGCAACCCTGCTGTCTCAATTCTTGCCCCTTCAGTCATTCATCATTGCTAGAAATGGAAATGAAGGCTCCAGAACACTTTTCCTCCGGAATCCAGGAAGTGAGAATGAGGCGGTTTGCCTTTTTCCTCTTGAGGAGAGTTCAGGTGAGCTGGTTTGGTACTATTCTGTCCTGGAGAGGTGAACAGGGACACCTGGCAACCTCATGGAACAATACAACAATACAAAAGTAGTATTTTCAAATCAGTGATAAAAATCTCCAGACATTCTTAACGTTTACGACTGAAAGATTTTTGGTTTTCTTTCCCACAAGGAGGCTGCATGAATGAATGATCTGAATCAGTGTAAGACAGCTTTTTGTGATTCTGAGCTATAGGTAATACACCTTTCTTCCATACACATGGAAGAGAACCTAGGAGCCTGGACTCCTTTCTTTTCCTGCTCTAGCAGCACCCTAGAATTTCAGTTCTCTGCTTGATCTTATGGTGGGACTCAGAAGTGTGGGAAATAGGAAACTTGAACTACTGTTCCTCACTTTCTTGCACCAGTGGTGGACATCAATGTTCATCTTGTCTGTTCTGGGGAATTTCAAAACATCATTTCCTTCTACTTAAAAGGGGAAGTGGTTTGGAGAAGCACAGAAGGACCGGTTATTGCAGGCTGCATGCTCTCCCTGTAAACTGCTAACCTCCCTAAAGTATTGACTGAAAGACTGGCAATTAGCTCTTTCTTTTTCCCTCCATTCTCCCGCCGTTGCTGCTTTATCATCTGCTTCCACTGAATTTGGCGTTCCCCATTTATGAACTGAACCACAGGTGAGGAACTCTTCCTTGTACCAATGCAGTGTTTGTATCCCACCTTCCTTCTAAGGAAAACAGAGCAATGTATATGGTTTCTACCCCTTTCTCCATAAAATAACTCTGTATTTTAGGGGGGCAGATTCCTTCCCAAGTAAGCTTAAGGAAATGAATGAGGAGGGGGTCAGGGAGGGAAGCACCTTTCTTATCGAGGAAGAAAGGCAAGGCTCTACGTTGTAACTGGAAAGAACTGGCAGATATTCCAGATTTTCCTTGCATTCCCTACAGTAGAACTGCCTAAACTTTGGAAGACCTGGGGGTTGCACTGGTGCCAAGTGGGCAGCATTGTGTCTATGGGCATAAGTGAAAATTTCTTTAGTTCTTTTCTTGCATTTCAAAATGGTGCTAATTACCAGTGTGAATTTGTCTGAAGGATGTTTTTAAGATAGAGGTACCAATATTATAATGCATTTTACAATGGTACAACTGCATGTAGAATGTTGTCTGCAATTCTGGTTGCCATACCTCAAAAAAGGATACCGTAGAGCTGGAGGAGGTTGAGAGGAGGTCAACCAAGATGGCCAAGGGGATGGAGTAGCTTCCTTGTGAGGAAAGTTTGCAACATTTGTGGATTTTTGGTCTATAAAGGAGGCAAATGAGAGGGGGCATGATGGCAGTGTACAAAACTATGCATGGTGTGGATAAAGTGGGCAAAGAGACTATTTTCCCCTTCCCCAAAAACTAGAACCAGAGGTCACCCCATGAAATTGAATCCTGGAAGGATCAGGACAGACAAAAGGAGATACCCAACACATAATCAGACTTTGGAATTTGCTACCCTGAGATGCGGTGCTGGCGACCAGCTTGTCTGGCTTAAAGGGTTGGACCAATTAATGGGAGTCCTGGAGATCAAGGGCTCTTAGCCGTGGGACTGCCGCTGAAGGCCGTCTGCTGGGAGAAGAGTGGGTTGGGTGGCCACTGTGAGACCAGACCACTGGAATAGATAGGCCAGGGGTCTGATCCAGCAGATTTATGTTCTTAAGGTTATTTTATTTTATGTACAGTATTCAGCTTTTTGTAGCATCCGCTATCAAAATAACTTTGGTGTTTAAGAGCTTATGCTATTTTAATGTTTATTTGGGGGCTTACAGTATAGCTTTTGCATTTGGTGCCTCAGTATAGCAGGAAACCATGGTACTTACTGTCAAGAGGAGAGGCACTTGGAGTTTGAAAAACAGGACTCAGAGCTTCCAAGATACCTATCCCTGCCCTAAAGGAAGGAGGTGTGTGTGTAAAGCACATACACAAAACTATGGAAAGATGGTTTGTCCTAAGGCCAGTCCACTCATCCCACTTAGTTCAACATTTTTTCTGCCGGTTGATACCTCTTTCTGAGGTGATTCCAGCCCTGAAATCTTTTTTTAGATCAGAAATGTCAGTAGTTGAATTTCAGACTTCCCTGATGCCCACCATGTGCTCTGTTGTGAACTACGGATGTGTCCTAATCGTCCTAGGAAGTGGTGAGTCAGGCTCTTGGGGCATCCTGCAAGTAATTTTCCAGTCTCTTTTTTTTCTATCTGTCTTTAGCTGGAAATTGTGGAAAAGTGGGAAGAGATTTTTCTGTTTGTAAAGCATGTGTTTTGCTACCGAGCACTGGGCAAGGACAGACGCTTCCTTTTTTCCCCATTGAGATCAAATATTTCAAATAAGATAAAGGATCACAGGTCCTGGCCTACAATTCAGTGCAATCCTTTTCTCAAAAAAAGCATTTCCTTGTCTCTGTTTACATGTCTTTCCCCAACTGGTAGAAGAATAGTCAAGGGACTTAGCAAAAGGCTGGTACCCAGAGCTTAAATGCTCCCAATGCGACTCAGATACAAGAGTTTGCTGAACTGGGCAAGCTCAAGATGAGACCGAAGGTCAAAGTTTAAATGTTCTGGTAAGAAGTACGCTAAGTTCATTTGTCTAATGAGGAAGAAAATGTCCCTGCTTTTAAATATTGCATTTTTCAAAGTTGTGTTTCTCAAGTTTGGCTTCATTTAAACAGAACTGTTTCTTTCCTCACTCCACCTTATTTCATCAATATTAATTATTGTTATGAATTGAGCTTTTTAATGCGCAGTTCTCCTTTTTTTGGCTTTCAAATCCGATGACTGGCTGGGTTCATCAAACATACAAAGCCAACATAAAAATAACATTTTGGCTTAATGTAATATGTAAACTCATCCATTGATTTTCAACTGTCTTAAAATCTCAAAAGATTTTATTTATTTATTTATTTGCCAGTCTCAGAAGAATTTATTTACAGTATTTCTTAATCCCATTTATATGGCCACCCATCTATCCAAAGAAACCGTGAGTGGTGAACGAAACAAACAAGGCAAAAACAAAACTTTCCATTAAAACCAAATAAAAACAATGCAAGTTGAGGTCCCATAAAATCCCCACAGTCATTGATTACATGTACCTCTGACAGCTCCCATCGCTAACTTCCTGGCCCTTGTGCTGGGGGAAGACCCAGGTCTTCATGACCTTCTGAAAGGCCAACAGTGTTGGGGTCATCTGGATCTCAGGGAGGAGGTTATTTCATAGAGCAGGTTCCATGATAGAGGAGGCACGCTTCCTGGGGTCTGCCAGGTGACACTGTTTCACCAAGGGTACCCAGAGGGACAGGCAAAAACAGAGTTTGTATACTCATAGTAAAGCAATGGGTAGTCTGAAGAAATTGGACCTTGCCTTCATCTCAGTATACGGATTATATGTTCCCTGTATAATCTGATTCTAAGAGAGGTAATGTAGGGTTCTCTCTCTCTCTCTCTCTCTCTGAACCACAGCTGTTCACCTCAAGGGTTCTCAACTGTATTTCAGAAACCTTTTGGAACTGGTTGGCTTTCATTTTGTGAGCAGGTGAGCACCAGGGAAAGGTTGCCTGTTGATGTGCACTGGGAGGAATCTGTGGGTGCTGAATGTGATTTTAATTAATCCTGTCACTGCCAGATACTTCTGAGATGAAGGGGCAAGCTCCTTGCATCTGCTCTTTCCCAAATGTTTTGGCTCCCTGGAAGTTCTTCCCAACTATAAGTCAAAAGAGGAGGTTCTGGCAGGCTTGGGGAAAAGGTGGTAGGAAAGAAATCTCGTACCGCATGCAATGAGTATGGTACGAGCACCCGCTTTAAAGCAGCAGCAATGGTGCAGATGAAGAAAGGTAGCACGGAAGACCTACAGTGAGCCAATAGCGGGTATCATTTTTGTGATTTTGTGATTGTGCTTCTCTTCTAGGGATATCCTGCCCTGTTTGCTCAGGATCCCCCACATCTTTCAACTTCCTTGCAGAGCTGATTTAGATGCAGTCGCCACCTTGGGCACAAGTGAGTGAGAATACCCAACATTTTGCTTTGGAATTAGAGGAGAGTTTGCCTATTTGGTTTACTCAATTTTTGTACTCCCTGGAATTTTGCAATGTAGTTTTTTAGTTTTATAAATGCAAGCAATTATCTAGGACAGTGGAAGGCTTCGTGTTATTCAAAAAGAGACTAGATCTTTCTTTCCACACCAGTCTCACTGACTCTGAGCAGATTACAAACAGTAGTAGGATTCCAATAGAAGAGAATATATGTAGTTCAGGGTTGAACTGTGGAGTCCTTGGTGCTCTCTGAGCTTGGTTGTTGCTTGCA